ATGGACACTTTTATGAAAGCCCAAATAAAAAGAAAAGTGCTCATCTCTTGGAAGCATTGTTAATGACACTTGTGTATTTTAATGGATTTCAGAAAGTATTCTATGTTGGGTTCGGGACAGAGAGGAAGTAGGGGGAGAGACGGGAAGAAGAAAACAAGGGGAGCAAAAGAAAGCAAAAAAAAAAAAAAAAACATAAGCCTTCAAAGACTGAAGCATGGAGAAGCTAAACATCATTGAACTTGTTTAAGGCTGTTGTGTGGAGCCTCAGAGGCGATCTGTCAGACTTTTAAATGGTGGCCACAAGAGTGACAGGGACACAATCAGTGTTGATGTTGTCAAGAGAAATAAATAGTGGGGAATTCTAGAAATGGACATTTTAAAAAATGTTGAAATGGGTATAATGAAGATACCTCCCCCAGCGCACAAACTCTTTTACATATTATACCCGCTGTACGGAGGCACTTAGAAATTATTCTCTGGTGTTCAGTTCACTTGTATGCAGGCCTCCCATGTTATCAAATAATATGGAATAGCCAGGGCCCTATTTTGCATACTCAATGTATCATTTGTTATTTAGTATGTTTGTTACTTATCTGAAGTTCAAGTTTAATGGGGTGTCTTGTATTTTATCTGAAGTAAGAATGTCCTAAAACTTAAGGCTGGAGTAGTAGTTTTGTGAGCAGGACGACTCTGCCGGATGGGTGGGAGGTGTTGCCATGCAGTCTTCAGAGCGCATAAGTGTAACAGAGAGTAAGAGAAGGCATGGGAGGATGAGGATCCTCTAGACTGCAGAGCACTGGTTCTCAACTTTCCTAATGTTTCAACCCTTTAATAATACAGCTCCTCATGTTGTGGTGACCAACAGTGGAATTATTTTCGTTGCCACTTTATAACTCTAATTTTGCTAATCTCATGAACATAATGCAAATATATGTTTCCTGATGGTCTTTGGCGACCCTGTGAAAGGGCCACGGCCCACAGGTTGAGAACCACTTGTGGTGAGAGGGGAAAACTCAAGGATGTCTAGGAAAATGGGACCTCTTGGAGAGATTTTGCACAAGTAGGGTGGCCGAGGGAACCGAGAAATGGAGGACTTTTACAGCCCTTGATGGCTGTTTACAGATTAAGTCCACTTGTTACTGTAGACTTTAGAATTAGGTGATACTCAGGTCCCGCAGATCTGAGCCTCCTCCGTGGTGGTCCTGACTGTTTCCGTGATAGTTAGCGAATGTTCTCCGGATTTCTCCTTACTCCCCACTTTAGGACACTAATCGCAGTTCCCTTCCTGCTCCGTTCCTTTTTTTTTTTTTTTTTTTTTTTTTTTTTTGTGGGTTTATTCATTCAAAATGTGCCCTAGTCGTGACACCTCTCAGCTGCCCTGGCCGGGAGAGGAGGCCACACAGAGCTAGGCATTGTTGATCCAGATCTGGGACCACCCGGGTGGGAGTAGAGGAGACTAACAGAGGCTTGATGACTGACAGCAGCTTCGGGTCAAGTGCCCAGCGGGCTGCCCGGAAAGAGGCCCTGTGTTCCGGACCCCAGCAGGGTCTTGCCCACAAAGCTCCCCTCCAGGGGGAAGCAAACCCTTCCTCCAAACTCCCTTCAGACTCATTCAAACTGTGCTCGTACCTCCCCCCCCCCCCCCCCCCCCCGCCTTTCCCTTCCTCCCTTCCTCCCTAGAAAGGTTTAGAAATTTAAAAACCATGTTAGGAAACAAAACAAAACCCAAAGCTAAATATATTTACTTAGAACCAGTGAAAAATGTTAGCGTGATTTTTTTCATAGTTCTCTTTGTGAGCAGATTTATGACCACCCACGTGGGGGTCTCTACCTGTTTCCTTCTCATTCAGGTTAGACTGTGGCTGAGGTCCCCTGTTCCTCGGCCACAGTGGCCCTTCCACCTCAACGTGTGTGACTAGCTCCTTAAAAAGACTCTGTGGAGTTTCACAGATCCACCTTAGGCTGCAGAACGAAGAGAAATTGGCTAAGGAGGGAGCGTTTTCTAGCAGTGGGTTGATCTTCTGTGGCAATTCCCAGGGCGCAATCCAATGCCCACATTATCCCACAGGATGGCAGATAATCGCTCTCTTCAGGGTGTGACCAAGTTTCATTCTGTTGGATGTGAGCAATCTCCTTCCTATTCCCAAATTGGCTAAGTGAACATCATCTATGCCTTGGGTAAAGGTTCAAATACAGTGATTTGTAAAAAGTCCCATCCTAATTAATATTCTATAGAGAAACCGATGAAAATTAAGAAAAATGCAAACTGCTCAATGAAGTGCTGTAATCCCACTCAAGTTTTCCCCAAATGGTAACTGCCCCCTGCTGGTAGCCAGAGAGATTACGGCTAGAACTTCAGGCTGGGATTTATGTTGTCTGTACACCAATTCTTTATTAAGAAACTGGAGGGAAAATACTCCCTCATAAGTGTTTACTAGTAACTAGGGCTTCTTTTTAAACATCTTTTGGGATCTAACTCTGCTTTTTTCCTAAACGGCAGCCATAATCACAGTGATAACAAATCTACTTAATTTGAAGGTCAGACAGAAAATCACTGTTTGAAAGAGTCCCATGGTAGCGTTGGCTTTTCTGATTCCCAAACACAGAAATTATTCCTTTTATCTGAGAAACTGGAATCTGACCTGAGCAACTAAATGCAAGTTGTCACAGCACCATGCATCCTGAATCTCTTCCTCTTTTTTGCCTTCAGTTTTAGGAGTTGAAACACAAAATGTCATTACACATTGCCTCATGGTTAGATTATGTCGGTCCATTGTCCCCCCACCCCCTTTCTGCTGAATTTACTGTCCAGAGTGGCATCTTTCTCTAGCATGTCTTGAGCTCACTACAGTATTTCTGTAAATGGGGAAAAGAATAACACCAATGTGCAAATACATTAATGTAAAACTATTTTTTTCTTTATTGAAAATACATCTACAAAGTAATGTTTTTTCAGTCCCGTGGGTGCATGGATATGCTGAGCCTCTGACAGACTGGCAAAGGAATCACCCCAAAGGGCCTGTTTTAATAAGAAATGGTTAGTACAAAAAAATAAAAATAAAAATAAAAAAATAAAAGAAATCACACTGGGTAACAGCATTAATTTGACATGATTAAGTTTTGTTTTACTAGTGTTGTAAAATGACTGCCACATACATTAACTTCTGTAGTGTGTTTCCAAAATAGAGCTTGCTGTTATTAAATGATTACTCCCCCATAGCCTAGTGTTAACCTTTATGTGTATGAAGTGCTCAAGATTGCTATGTGATATCTCTAATTGTAGATTGGGAGACGCCATTTCTAGATACTCAGGGTGTTAGTGTAATTACATCCATCATTTTTGGTCGGAAACTAAGGCAGTTGGTACTATCTGATGGCTCCCATTCAATATCTTTGAATATCCTAAGGGGGTAAAAATAATCTCTCTTAAATTTGGGGGCTGCCTGAAAGTAGCACCCTTGGTGTTTTTTTTTCTTCTTCTTCTGTCCTGTCCTCATTGATGTTATTTTCATGCTGACTCATCTACCTTTTTTTTTTTTTTTTTTTTTTTTTTTTTTTTTTTTTTTTGGTAGAGCCACAAACAAAACTGAAGCAAACCCCACTTTAGATGAGAATTTCGACTGATTTGCCAAGCGGCATTTCTATACAAAGAAGGATCTTGTTTCTTTCATTCTAAGAACTTCTGTTTAAATTGTAAAACAAAACCAAACCCCCCAAACAAACAAAAATTTTCAGAGATGAGATCATCCACCCAGCATAGGGATCTGTCTCAGAAATCTCCCTTGTTTGACTCTGAAATATGGAAGAAGTGGTATTATATGTCATTTCTTTCTGGACTAATTGGGAACTGAGGACAACGTGTTCAGGGTAACAAAAAGGGCCAAGGTGCAGCCATCCCTTTTACTGTGTGTAAAGAAGACCAACTATTCTTGAGTGTGTGTGTGTGTGTGTGTGTGTGTGTGTGTGTGTGTGTGTAGACAGGGTTTCTCTGTGTAGCCCTGGCTGTCCTGGAACTCACTCTGTAGACCAGGCTGGCCTCTAACTCACAGAGATCTGCCTGCCTCTGCCTCCCGAGTGCTGGGATTAAAGAATCTTCCCTTTGTAATGTTGGCCATACTCTATTCTTTCTCTGTTCTTTAGTGTTCCATAGTAAGATCATGAGCACACTTGCTAGTTGCTAGTCTTCTGTTTATTTCCTAAACATCTAATTGTCAGTTGAGGAGTGGTAGAAGGCTTTCTTAGAGCCATCCCATGGGTTTAGAAAGAATACCCAAGAAGGGAGTGCTTCTAGTATTGGTAAACAAAAAACAAACAAACAAACAAAAAATCCAAAGCAAAACAATAACCCCCCCAAAAAAACAACAAAACAAAGCAAAACAAACAAAAACCAGGCAAAGGAGCCCCACAAATAATCCCACTCCTGGAATGACCTTCCACATGTCTACTTATATGACCAACATTTTGGACCGACCCAGTGAGCCATACAGCCTGCCATTAGAGAGAAATGTCCATTCCCATTAAGTGCCCTTTTTGAGATCTCTATGTTATACAGGGCAGGGTTTTCCTGGTGTCACAGCAATCTCGCTAGAGAGGCCATGTGTCTAGAGGAGTCATTCTCTGGATGAGAACACTGAGGCTAAGGCATGAGATGAGTCTCACTCATCACACTTTCTGCTTCTCCTCACAGCTATGCTGTGCACATGTGGGCATTGCTGGTACTGATAACGTGAGGATAGAAGTCAGAAGAAAGGGGGCAACATCCCTGCTACCCCACGGGTCACTAATAATTGCTCATAAGCTGTTACGTTTTAAGACTAAAACTCAATTGTGTTCTGAAGGATTTTTAAATTTTGAAAGTTGATTTGAATTTTTTTACCCTATCACTGGTTCAATGCTTTTGCTTATGAAACAATCACATAGGACTGTTTGCCATCTAAATGTATAATATCAAAACTATGTTTGATTCCAGTAACTTACTTGGTAAGAATAATATGAGATGATTTAAAAATTTCAAATGTGGTCTGAAACTTATATTTCAGCTGCTGCCAAGCCCTCCCTGGATTTTGGACATTTTCCAATCCTATCAGAGTAGGGAGGAAAAGAGAAGGGGCTCTCACTGCGTGAGTGAGCTGAATGAGATTGGACACATTGCAGAAAACTTTCCAGCGCCAGGTGCTCGAGAAAAGCGCTTCTGTTTGGTCTACATCTTGGTTTCACTGTCAGCCACGGGTTTCTCAGGTTCATTGTCCTGGGCAATCAGCTGATACGGCTTCTTCATTTCATTCTCCTCGATCACTGAGTTCCCCATTTCAACATCTCGGTTCTTCAGTTCATGGCGAGACAAATGCTCAACGATCCCCGCTCCAAGGGAGTCACCCAGCACATTGGTGGTGGTTCGGAGGCGGTCCCTGCAGATGGGCGGGGCAGGAAGGGAGGAAAAGACAGGTCCCATGAATATCACCAGGGCTCGGCTTCTGGAGAGAAGGCTCAGAGGTTAAGAATGCTGTTTGCCCGTCCAGAGGTCCTGAGTCCAATTCCTGTTCAATTCCCAGCAACCGCATGGTAGCTCACACCATCAATAATGAGATTTGGTGCCTTCTTTTGGTGTGTAGGCACGAATGTCAGAATACTGTATACATAATAAATCTTTTAAAAAAGTTATAAAGACAAGTAGGTGACTAGTTTTCAGTGATTAGTATGGCTGTAAACAGAAGGTGAACAGTGAGGGCTGACCCTTCCCTCTCTCCCTGTGTGTACCCTTTCCCTGATGTGTGTGTGTGTGTGTGTGTGTGTGTGTGTGTGAGTGTGTGTGACCTCGCCTGTGCACATATGTGTGTGGAGGCCAACAGTGTGGTCTTCAATTACCTTCCACCATATTTTTTGAGATAGGGGCTCTTGTTGAAACTGGAGCTCACCCGTTTATCTAGACTGGCATGTCCTCCTGTCTCTGCCTTTGCAGTGCCAGTGCTGGAATCCTAGGCATGTGCCATGCGCACTGCTTCTTTTTAACGGGTACCAAGCTGAGGATGGAACTCAGATTCTCATGTTTACACAGCAAGCTCTCGTACCAACTGAGCCACTTCCCCAGTCCTCCTTCCTGTTTTTATTTAACCTTTTCTCTTTCCTCCCTTCACCTGTCATTGTACCAATGATTCTCCAACCATGGTACAGTGGCTCCTTGGGGAGGTGTCCTGGGATAGGAACTGTTTTTATGGTATTACTGCGGTCTCATTTGTTCTTACTCTGCTCTTCACAGGACTTTGTGGTAAGTCTTGCTAGGCCATCGATGTGACCATAACCTCTAGCACACTGGATGCCGCGGCAGTTGGGACAGTTGCAGCTGCCTGATATCAAGCAGGACATTCAGGGGACTTATAAAATGTAACCCAGTGCCACTCTTTTCACTAACCTTTTTGTTTAGAAGTGATTATTTCTCACAAAAGTTGATATTTACAACAGCACCTAGGGAATTATTATTCTAACTTTTAAAGGAAGTGAAAACATGAGTTTTTCAGCTGGACAAAGCAGCCTTGCAGACTACAGCCAGGATTTCTGCATCTTCTTAGAATCCCCCATGACAGCGCCCCTTACCAGCAGGAAGGAGTTTGGAAAGAACGACGCCCAAATTCCCAAATATTGTCTATAAATGTTTGTTTTCATTTAAATGGGGTTAGTTATATAAAATAAATAAATAAATAAAAAGAAAACATGAGTTTTTACACTATGGTAATGTGTGTAAGCCATATAGCTTTAATATGTCCCCCATTTCAACCAGTTTTACCCATGAAGCTTGTATTCTACCAAAGTCCCTTTTGGTTTTGTTGAGACACGGTTCCTTTTAGCCCAGGCTGCCTTTGAACTCACATGGCCTCAGAGGACAGCCTCTAACTTCACTTACCACATGCTGAGATAACAGGTTTGCACCCTCCCTCCCCAGTTTATTATTGGTTCTGGAGACTGAACACAGAGTCTCATGTGCTTTAGGCAAACACTGTCAACTTAGTTAAGGCCCTAGCCCCAAAGTGTTGGTGGCAATCAATACCTCAGAGCCAGACCATGGACTGAGTTCTTTCTTACTGTCATTGAATTTAATCCCTAAAGTGTCAACAGAAGGCAGAAGACTCAGGTATCTCCACTTCTAGGGAGGTTGAAACTATGTTGGCTAGGTAGGCTGATACTGTCATGGGGCCTGAGGTGATGATCCAAGTAACCCGGGAACTCATGCTGTGTCCCTATGGTGTACACAACTGGACTCTTCCTAGCTCTAGTGAAGTCATCCCATGTGGACACCAACATCCAATGTGTTCTCTAGGTACTCTCTTCGGGCATCCCTTACACAAAATTTCCAGTACAGGGGAATTTATGAGAGACTAAGGACAGACAATATCCCTGGAAGAGTGAGGGGAGAAGGCATGAAGACAGGCCCAACATGGTGGGGGTCTAAGGATGTGGAGAGTACATTTCTTGGGATTTCCCTCAGAGAGCCAGATCAATTCTACTTGATGATATAAGCTCTCTGTCTGCACAGCTATCTCTCACCTTATGGGTCTCAGACACAAACATCTGTCCTGAATTACCCCAATTGCAATAGGAAGCACAAGGAGGAAGGGCCTGAGCAGGCATGTGGGGTCTGCTGCTCCAGCTGCTGAGGGAATGTGTTGTGCAATCCATAAGAGAGCCTGGCTGACTTATGTCAGCTTTGCAGGCAGTAGGTTTCCCAACTGCGAGGGGCTTTATGGAGTGGCAGGGAGAGTAGCCAGATGTGCCCTACAGGCTGAGAGGAGGGAGTTTGCACGGCATGTTAGTCTGGGACTCTAGATAAGGACTGGAGAGTAGGTAAGGAGGAAGATTTAATTACATGCTGGTGTTCTGTTCTTCTCCAAGTCCATTAGGCGGTTTGTTATTCTAGAATTGTGGGGGTGCAAGAAAGGGATGAGCTTGTGGGTGGGAGCTGCCCGTGTGAGTCAGAACACAGACCCCAAATACTCACAGAAACCAGTCCACTGCGATGATGAGTGTGATGTCATCTGTGGGTAGGCCCACAGATGTCAGCACAATGACCATGGTGACCAGACCCGCCTGAGGAATCCCAGCTGCTCCAATGCTTGCAGCCGTGGCTGTGATGCTGTTGATAGAAGGACCAAAACAGAAAAGTTTACAAATGCCTCCTAATGGAGAGTACCTCACAAAACTCAAGTTTCCATGCTTGAGTGGAGGGCCTGCATTAGAAAAATGGAAATAAATAAATAAAAGCAACAAGCTAGTAGTCATACTGATTAAAATTGATCACGCGCTTTTTATTATGTGTCAGCTGATATGCGGAATCTGGTTTGCCGCATTTGATCATCTCAGTGGCCCTTGTGAAGTGGGCTTTACTACCGAGACCGTTCTTAAGTAAAGAAACTGGTGGCTGTGTCCTTTTCTTTGCGCTTACATTCATTTTGTAAGGTCTAGAAGGAAGCAGAAGGGAGTGACTCAGCGGTAGAGCATTTGCCTAGCATGTGTGAAGCCCGGGATTTGCCCCAGCAAGGAACTCACAGGTGAGTCTGAGTGTGTGTGTGTGTGTGAGAGAGAGAGAGAGAGAGAGAGAGAGAGAGAGAGAGAGAGAGAGAGAGAGAGAGAGAGAGAGAGACTTATTTGGTAGGGTGATGAGAGCATGTGAAACTGCCTCCTCATGGATAATAAAGTACTGTACTGGCAAGATCTAAACTGCTTACGATTTCCCCCATACTCCTTCCCTGTTATGGCACTAGAATAGCTAGTTGGTAAGGCCACCTAGAATGAAGTTAACACATCCCAGCCTCCTAAATTATGGCTCATGAAATACAGATGGAGGTGACTGGCCGACCTCTGACTTCCCCTCTTCCCACTGACAAAAGTTAGTAACTGGTGAAAAGCCATCGACTTTGGAACTTCAGAGTTCATTCCTTACATTGTGGAACACCAACCAGCCTTGAAGACTTTGAGAAGTAAACCTTAAAGAGAAATGTATCTGTACCTTGTTTAGGCCACTAATGCCATTTTCGCCATTAAGTCACAGACAATTGACTTTGTCTTAAACTCAGGGTTCTTCAGCCTATACACTAACATATGTCTGAGAACAGGTCATTTGGTGCATGGAAACACTGATCTCCAGCCTCCGGTGTGGCTAGCTTGAGCCTCCTGATCCCTGGTCAGCCAAGGATCCCAATCCCTGGTCAGCCTATGATCCCTGGTCATAGTAACCTAACTTCATCATTTCACTCTAATGTATACCACAGCTATTATCCCTTCCTAACAACATAGACATGCACACAGAATATAACATAACTAAGTAAACATAAGAAATAAACATAATAAACTTAAGAAAAATGTGGGGTGAGTGATGGAGATTAAGAGAGATCCAAAACATACTATAAGGCATAAAAATTGAGATTAATCATGATCTGAGACAGAGAAAAAAAAAAGCTGCAAAAGACATTTCATTTTGGGGTGTAGCTGGGGAAATCTGAAGAAGGATGGGTATTTTGGAAGTACTTTTGAGGTTATATTATTGTGGGCATGTAGAAGAATATCCTTATAATTAGGACATGAATGCTGAATCCTATCACGATACAAGTGATATCGTGAGAGGAGTAGGGAAGGAAGAAGGCAGTGAGAAAGGGAGAGAGAGCTCAGGTGTGGCAAAATGTTAATTTGTAGGTGTAGGTAGAAGATATTGTAATATCATTTTACATTTTCTATATGTGGAGGGACATATTACATAAAGAACTGTGAACACCAAAGTCCAATTCTAATATCGTTACTATTAGTTAAATTCACGACCACAGTAATGACGGGTGTAGTTGATCTGAATCAGGAATCTTAAAGCCTCCTGCTGCCCTTAGTCTTTTTTGCTCCAGTAGGCAAGAAAGGGCAAAGGGTTAAATCTACACAGGCCCGTGCGCTGTCTTTCCAGGTACAAGGAAAACCCCGAGAAATGATAGGAACCTCTGCAGGAGGAAACTAAGAGATTTGAGGAAAGTACAATAAGGACAATTATTTTTCACTGGATATATTAAGTGTGGGTTCAATGCTTGTCCGTAAAATTGAGTTTTTTGCCTTACCTGTATGATCTATGATTTATCTTATACTGTGTAAAAACTAACTCAAGAGAATAAGCTAATCTAGTTTTCAAGTGTATTTTCATTTTCCAATATTGCCTATAGACATAGTTTTATGTTTGCAAAAGTGGAGTATAACTTTAATGCTTCTAAAACAGAATTATCCATACTGTATATTTTGTAGACATTAAAAGATGAGCCAGGTATATCTGTAAATTCTGTATTGATGAGCAAACCAATCAAGGAGTACATGGTATGTGTGGTATGGTTTATTACTAAAAAGAGGTGTGTACATAGCTGTGCATCAGAAAAGGTCTTTGGGGGTCAGTCATGGACAGTAGTTACCTAACAGAAAGATTTGATATGGTAACAGGGAAGTTGTCCTTTCCATGCCATACACTTCTGTATTATTGGAATGAACATACATGCCTGAAGTTAAATAGCTGAAAAACACATCCAGGTAAACCCAAAACTACTCCCTCCAACTCCAGCCTCCTGTTTATGTGTGAGCCCCTTCCCGATCAATTTCTTCACCCTACTTCCTGCGCTCTTTCATCTGTTAAAATCATCCTGAAGAAAATCTTCACTTGTACCTTATTGTAATAATCTGTCCAAAGTTTAGGTCAAAGTTGTTAACTTGAGCGATGAAAATGGCAGCCAAAGCCTCATAGAGGGCGGTCCCATCCATGTTAATGGTGGCCCCCACTGGGAGCACGAATCTGGTGATACGTTTGTCCACACCGTTGTTCTCTTCCAGGCACTTGAAAGTGATAGGTAAGGTGGCAGAACTGAGGACAGCAAAACAGGGCATGTCAGCTGAGTCACCCAATAGTTCTGTGTTTTGCCTTTGGTCTTTTGCACAGACAGTTCCTTCCTCTCTCATGTCCTGACTGGGTCAGCATTTGTCTAAAGAGAGGGTTAGGAGAAGTGTGGTGCCCCCACAGGGTCACTCAGCCACTTCTGTGCCTGGATTCCTCTGAGGACTTTACTTGTGATTATTCCCATACCTCGGATGCCTGGGGCACTTCATTTTCTCCCTTTTCTCTATGGCAGACATCAATGGAAGATAGGAAGCCCGTGAGCAGGAAAGGCCTATTCCTTTCCCTTTGCCCACCCAAAGGATTTACAGATAGCCATTCCCGGGACCCCAAGGAGGTATGACCAATATCAGAGGTGAACAAAGCCAATTCAATATTCCTGAAATCTAAAAACCAGAATAAAATGCCTCTACTTATCCTCACCCCAAGAGGCTCAGGCTCATGGCAAAGGTTTAGACACACTTTCTTAGAGGAGTAAGCCACATACCTGGAGGAGGTCCCCAGAGCTGTGATGAGCGCTTGCAGCAACCCTCCAATGAAAACCCAGGGGTTCTTCCGGGTGACCAGGAAGTAGAGGAGTGGCAGGACGATGACAGCGTGAATGAGGAGGCCAACGATGACTGTCACTGTGTACATGGCAAGCTGCCCCCCAATCACACCCATGTCTTCCATCTCAACAATTTTCCCTGCGATCAAGAAGAGGATGCCCAGAGGTGCATACCTATGGAAAGAACACACGTTCAATTGGAGGTTTGGCTCCTATAAGCTATTGCATGTAAATTACCAAGTTCTGGAGAAAAACAAAACAAAAACAAAGAGGGAAAGATGGGGAATTTCCAAACCGAGTCCTGTAGAAACTACAGCAGCCATTCTTTTCTGTTTAAAATTCAAAATTCCCCAGATATTTCTAAATTACTCTGAATTACTCTAGGATACCCTACTCGATACCCACCAGCCCTAGACCTTAGAAGGGAGAAGAATTTTTGATCCTCATCTCCATTTTCCTAGACACAATTGGGTCCCTGCTTGGGTCTTCAGATGCCTGCCACTCCCTTTCCCTCTCGACTCCTGCTAGGCACCTGGAACAAACCACTCTATCGATATCCACACTTTTCAGAACATTTTCCATACTGCAGCCTGCTTCCCAAGCTAAAGCAGGCATCACGCTATGCCATGCTATGCTATGCCTTGCCAGGGGTCATGTGGTCAGCTTTCTTACTCTAGGGCAGTGTTTCTCAATGCGTGGGTCATGGTTCCTTTAGGAGGTTGAACAATTTTTATGGAGGTCACCTAAGACCATTAGAAAACACAGATACTTACATTACAATTCACAACAGTAGCAAACTATAGTTGTGTGGTAGCACAGAAATAATTTTACGCTTGGGGATCACCACAGCATGAGGAACTGTATCAAAGTGTCACAGCTTTAGGAAGGCTGAGAGCCACTGTTCTAGGCCCTCATTCATTGCTTTCTTCCACAGCTATGTCCCACTTAAAATACATTACTTAGTGACTTTCTTCAAGTCACCTTTTATACTTAAGTACATTTCCTTTCACAGGAAATTTTATGTTACTGTGCAAACTAAATACTACCATAAATAGAAGACCATAAAATAAACCCAGAGCTATTAAAATTAATAAAGTGTGGGGATGTGTGACTGCAGTCAGGTTATAGGCATTCGAATTAAGTAATTATCCACAGGCTGTTACTCACAGTCCCTGCAAGAATGGGCAAATGACCCTACGGCTACTCATACACGCTGGACTAACCCTATTTGCTCAAAGGCTGACTTTCAACTCCTTTTGCGTGATGTGTGCACTAAGCTAAAATGAAACACACTGCCCAAGACGGAAGCCAATCACCCTTAAGAGAAGGGTCTGCTGGGAACTGCAGAGGACTTGCTGTATCTCAAGACATACAATGCTCCTTTCAAAGGTCCTCTAAAAATGCAGGCCAGGAAATCGCAGGAGTACCTGTTCTAAGAAATGTAATAATTCAGTGTTGAATGTGTAGGCGAATGTATAGCTGGAAAAGCTACATGTGAGGTTCATTCAGTGGCCTTGAATGGGCTCCTTTCACAGAAGGGGTGAAAGGTGGAGGTATTTTAATAATATGAAGATAAATGTCCACTTTCAGCCTGGCCAGGATTTCAAAGGGGCCTTCCAAGTGAAGGCTCCTGTGGGGACCACATTCTGACCTGTCTTCGTGCCAAGTTCTTATTCATCTTGTGCAAACTCCTAAAAAGTGGATTCCTATGGGCTTTGGGGGCATTAGAGACAAAGGATATTTTTAATCATGTCGGTGAGTGAATGCTTTTCGCAGCGATTGATGCCTTCCTGCACTAGGTGCCAAGAAGGACCCTAGATATTAAAAATCAAAAATGAAAAAAAAAAAAAAAAAGCAACTCCCACACAAGACATACGCCAAGCCATTGCCCTCTCCCTGCTGGGGACAGTTTACTTTCCAAAGTCAAAGCTCACCCCCTTGGGACTTAGTCTTTCTTTTGTCTCTTGCTCTGAATTCTGTTATAAGTTGTGGCTTAGCAGTCCATGATACTTCCTGTGAGCCCTTCTGTAGGCTGCTACAGCTCTGCCACACACATTCCTTCCTTAGGGTTCAAACAGAAGGGAAAAATGCACTCTTGGCTCCTCCTCCAATGATCCGGGGTCCGTGTTTGTTTTCTCCTACTAGGAATTCTCTTTTTGTCCAACTGGATGTACCAAGTCATTTTGATCTGAGCATAAAAGTCACCCCAAGACTTTCTGTGCCACCCAAAGCAAATTCCCCCCCACCTCTTTTCACCACACTTGGGAGAGTCAGGAATATGATATTTATTTGCTTGTTCATTGTTTGTCTTCCTTAAAGGTATGTGAGACCCAGTGTACCCTTGCCTGCTGTCAGTGTTGCTACAGCTAGTATGCTTGGTACTCTATTCTTATTGTAGAGTAGAAACTCAACAACTGTGTGAATGAATAACTAGACACGTGTCAAGTGGGTGGATGGGGTAAGGAAGCTGAACCTTTTCAAAACAATGAAGTACATTTGGGTTCAGGACTTCCACAGTGCCAGAAAAACACCAACTTTCTGTGGTTTCTAGAAAAAGATCTCTGCAACTATCCATCTGGCTTGGTGGCATCTTTCTCAGAACAGAACAGAACACACACCCATTGCAATAAACAATGGTACCCAGCTTGTACACAGATAGGAAACTCAGAAATACGTACCACATTATCACCGCTACCAATCTCATGATGGCTTCATTAAGAGAGTCAAAGAAATCTCTCAGTGCTTGTCCCTGCTCCTTCATGTTTCCAATCACAAAACCAAAGCACATGGAGAAGACAACTAGGCCCAGGGCATTGACCCCATTTACAGATCCAGGAACGGGTATCATCTCCTCCCGGATGCGGGTCAGGGTTTCCATGGCCTCTGACACATTGTTGATCACGGCGCCCAGGAGTGTTTCATTGGCCTGGATGGGCACTTTAAAACTCCTCTTTTCATAGCTGGTTTTAAACTTAAAAATAAGAAGCAAAATAAGAACCAAGTGATTTTTATTTGTCTTTTTATAATTCATTGCTGTCCAAGTTTTCTATCATGATATATGTTATTTTGTATTCAAAGGACAGCATTACAGGTGGTATTTATCTTTATACCTACCTATGTACTGATGTACTGTCTATCATGTTTGTGGCAGATACCTGTTTCTCAACAGATACACACACACACACGTATATATACACACACACAGTGAAATACATATGAATCACAATGTGTACATATACACTCAAATACATAACAAATTACAATAAGCAGGGAATACCTGGCTAAAGATGTCAGACTCAACATACACACATACATTTGCTTTCTTCTAAAATCTTAGTAAAATGACTATAACGAGATTTTCAAAGAGCCACAAACTCAAATATTCCTAAGTCCTTTTGTCTTCTATGGAGACCATGTACACATAACTATCCATACTTTATTTCATATCCCACAGCTGTGAAATAGGATAACCACTGATTTTACCTCATAGGGTTGTGGCAATGACCAAATCAAGCACCACAAGTGACAACATTTTGTAAAATGTGAAGTACAGCATTAATGTGGACTAATGGTGTTCAGTGACAATGCCCTTCAGGAGTAGACTTGGTTAGACACTTCAGAGGACAGGAAAAAAAATCCTCAAATGACCAGTCTTCAAGTCATTCCTGATGTTATAAATTCCTATTCTTAATAGCTCCCTCTTAGTAACTGGTGATGATAACCTTGCTCCAAGTCATTTTCCCCCTAAGTCAAGCCTTTCCCCCATAGCTCCTGCTAGATGTGCAGTCAGCAAGGGCCTAGAACATTGCAGGAGCCACAGTTAAGCCTATTCCTCTGTGATCTCCAGAAAAGTGGAATTGCTGCCCTAGCCTTGATAGCATTGATAGTAAAACAGTGAGTAATGGTGTGCGAATGCTGACTGTGTTTGGAATCTAGGTAGGAAGGCATGGCCACACATGAAGTACTTTGCTATTTTTGTACCAAGAATGAGCAGGAGACTTTCTAGTCTATTGGGAAACCACCATATCCAAACAAGGGCATGGTCAGCTGTCAATATTGTGGATTGCCTGTTATTTTCAAAACACATAAAATTCTATTACAGTCAACACTCGGTCTCTTCACTCGGGCATTTGTGTATTCTCTGGATTCCCCAGGGTACATTTTCAGACCTGCTCATCCTGTCTTAAACCTCCTGAGTCTTACACTGAGGAGGCACAGTTTAAAGCCTCCTCAGAAACCTTATTTGCATTCTAGCCTAAGCCATATAGATCTTAGGGCAACACATCTGCTTCCCCAGTGCAGCCCTGCAAATGCTTTCAAATTGAATGCAAGTCCATCAAGGTCAATACTTTCCCCATCTAAAAGATGTAGAAACCAGCAGTTTTGATGCCAGAGCATGAACAGACAGATTTACGATGCTGGGTGGGTTTGCTGGATTAAAAAATTTTATTCTTTATTGTTACTGTAGTTCTTGAATAAAAGAAGTCAGATTTTTGGCTGTCTGAGCATTTTTGGTCCTGGGAACTAAACTCATGGTCTTGCACGTGCTCTATAGACATTCTTTACCTAGAATGTATCCACATCCCTCTTTTTGTTATACATGCATGCATGCATACACACACACACACACACACACACACACACACATTTGTATTTAATTAAATTTTTGTTGCATTTATTAACCTGGTGGGGGTAGGGATACATGCTATGGTGTATATGTGGATATCAGAGAGCAATGTGGGAAGAGTCATTTCTTTCCTTCCAGCATGTGGGTCCCAGGGATTGAGTTCAAGTTAAACCACCTTGATTGCCCTTTGCTTCTTGCTGTGAGACAATGCCTCATTCAATCACCCAGGGTACACTTGAACTCACTCTGTACCCAGGCTAGCCTTGGACTTGTAATCCTCCTGCATTCTATTGGCTTCTTGTGTTTTTTTCTTTTTTCTTTCTTAGGAAGGGAGTGTGATTTGATCTTGCAATCCACTTGTATATTAGCTTTTACAAGTAGTCTTAAAGGAGCAGGGAAAGATGGTGTCTTGCATGTGTAAAACCCAGTTCTCAGAGATCAGGGTTTGGTTTTAATTTGTATGTTCCAAACAGAAAGGTTAGGTGAATTGACACCGCTTAGAGCAGCGTTTGGGAAGTAGCATTTAATCTATAGTATATTTCCCATTTCATAACTTGGGCAACAGAGCTTTTCTAATTCAGTAAGGCTAGAAAGAGCTGTATGTTCCAATACTAGAAGATATTTGTATCTATCAGAACGGCAAAGAGGCACAAAGGCCTAGTCCTCACTATGGCCTCCAGGTGGATGGTCAGTGTTGCTTTCTAGGAAGCAATGTGAAGCGGTAGGAAGAGTATGGAGGATACGGGTCTGAATTCTGGGTCTGTCATTCACTACTTGTGAGAACTTGTGCTTATTGCACAATTCCCCATTCTCATAAAATAGTGGCCTCGTGGGTGAAGTGAAGACAGTGCTACTCATCGTGTTCATGTGAGGGCTAAATATAACATTGGTGCTTGGCACACAGCAGGCATTCCGTAAATGATGATGCCATTCCTCTCTGATATGGTTCTTCTCTAGAATCCCCAAGACTTTTAATAAGTAGGCCAGTGATTTTTAAATCAAACCCAGAAACCAGAATAGTCTGTCTAACCTTAAAGCAAGTTGTTAGTGCATTTATTTATATTTGAATTTGCTTACTTTGGTGACTTTTTGCATGGGAGCCCAAGGAGGGGAAGAAAGAGAGGGCCTCCCGATTAGTCCTCTTAAAAATAACCTAGACTAAATGTGCTGTTTGTGTGCCATATGCATGTGCCTGGCAACTAGGCCACCTTTAATACACGTAAAGGGCCATTGTCACCCAAGTTTCCCAAGTAATCCTGGCACTTTCCGTATAGTTGGTCAGAGAAATAGTTCTTACTGTAGAGAAGGAAAAGGCAAGAGAAGGGGGTCCTGCTGCCAGGTGCCTGGAAAGGCTAGAGGAGTTGGAGCTACTGGAGCTGAAGTTACTGGTGATTATGAGCCACTGGACATAGGTGCTGGGAACAGAAAACTTGGGTCCTCTGGAAGGGCAGTCAGTGCTCATAACCACTGAGCAATCTTTCCAGTCCCTGGAGAAGAATTTTAAAGGTGGCTTGGTAGCTGGAGAGCATTTACCTGTTTAAAGCAGGCTTCCACCAGATTGGGAGGGAACATGTTCCTGCAAAGAAAAGAGCAGTCATTTGCAAAACTTCCCTAGTAGTAACTTGATCCTTAAATACTGCTTCACTGTGTCCAAGGTAAAGACCACATTGAATCAAGTAGCAAATGGAAAATCAGAGATACTGTGACTTGAAACTGGATACATGGTTATTCCTTTGTATGGCCCATGCAATTCACATTTTTCAGGGAAGCATCAGTTCAACTCAAATACCCTCCTCATGGGAGGCTTCAGTCAGCCAATAGACGATTATTAAAACCCCATAGCTTGGAAGAATCAGTGAGAACAGAGATGCTTTTTCTATCAGCAGGTGGCTGACACTGGACCTATCCAAAAGTGGTTATGCTGTTACTGTGTTATGTGTCTAGGGATCAAAAAAGATCTGAATCAAAAGACATGATTAGTTGTACCGCAGAATATTTTTTATTCCTCTGCAGGCTTTGAGGAAGATAGAGATAGCATCCCAGAGAGTCGGAAGCTTTTGGGGAGTCAATGAAGAGCTTAACCCAATATTTGAACTTAAGGCCTCTAAGCAAAGTTTGTCATTTCCTCAGAGACTGTGTCAGAATGCTATTTGAGGAGGAAAACTAGTCTTGCTCAGAATTGTGACACTGGCCAAACCAATGGCAACCCTTATGTCTCAGGTGATTCATCTGTTAAGGAGGAGAGTGGATTAAACTGTCAGTAGGGCTCTAAGATGGAAGACTGGGAGGAGGAGACATGACTCATGAACTTGGGATTTTAGAGATTGTGTGCTGTCAAACTCATTCTTTAAGGCTATAATTGCTTGTCTTGTTCTTGTTGCTATCTGGGTCCTCCTGTTTCCTTTTTTTCCCCAATCTGTGCTCTGTGGGTTTTTTTGTTTGTTTTTTGTTTTGTTTTCTATCATGCAAGTGTATGTTCAAAGAGCTTCTAAGATAAATTCCCAAGTTGGGGCAGGACAGCCACACACTTTTTACTGGGGCAAAGGATAGAAAACTTAGGATGCTCTGATGGATCAACTAGACTGGGGATAACAAGGTCTCAAGAAGGACAATATAATATTCCTAACCCAAACTAACCATTGCTTCATGAAAATAGTAAAAGTTGTGCTTAGTTCCACGAACTTAATAAAAGCATAGTTATCAGTTACTAACTTGCAGGGATATTTTTATAATACCTTTTAATTTTTTTGAAATCATAATTATGTAATTTCCCCCTTCCCTTGTCTAGCTCTAACTCCCCCCCCCCCATGAGCATGTATCTTCCTTATTGCTCTCTCTGTGCAGGGAATATAAGGCAGTTGTCACCTTTAGAGCACTGGGATCTACTCTATTAAAAGGCTTTCAAGAAAAGGTGTCATTGTGGTTGGGTGAGGCTAACAGATGGATGACACGACACAAGGTTGTCCCTGGTGGGAATGGAGAAGTGCCACAAAAGGAGGCCCTCTTCTGCAAATGTCTCTTGATGCACTCTTGAAATGAGTCCCTTGAAGGAGCCTTTCAGACGAGCAATCTAGCACAGGTAACTTTGGTTCTTTGCAGGTAAGATGGAAAGAGGAAGAAAAGGTTAAGTTTTGATCAGAAAGACTGGCACTGCACAGTGGAAGAATGTGAAGCAGACAGGAATCTAGAGGCTGTGTTAGGATAGCCACCATTTGCCCTGCTAGATGCATCCCGAATTCTGTGCTGAGCCCTAGGACCTAAGCCACAGACAACACAGCTTTCTGACTCGTTTTGGTTTTGTTTAGTGGCATTTGCTGACAGCTTACAGGGAAATAAAAGAAAAAAGTTCATATATATATATATATATACAATCCATCAGTCCCCTGGTTCAGTTCAACTGAAGCTCCCTCATCTCCTAGTTAGAGAGCTCCTACTCTGAGGCACATTGCCTATGATGACAGCTCTTTCTGGGCTCTGCTAACAGTTCCTTTTCTGTGTCCCTTCACAGCCAGGGGTGGTGACAAAACATCTTATCTCATTATATGTTGGGGCCTCCCAGAACCTGTTTAGAGACAGGGTCTTGCTATGCAGCCCAGGTGAGTCAGGACTCAAATTCATGATTCTTCTGTCAGTCACCAAGGACTGAGATTATAGTTTGCATCACACCACACTGACTTTCAGAGTTCCTTTTGAATATGTAGTGTATCTGACTGATTCAAGGGCAAGTGTGTAGAGCGGCTGAAGGAAAAGGCTCAAACTTTGGCTTGCTTTTATGATCATCAGTTCCATTCAATTGATAAGACACTATTGTGATCTGTCTAGCTTGTTTATGATACACTACTGAAGAGCATCCTCTGACTTTTTATTAGTGATCTGCCAAATCCTTTCTTCACAAATAGTACATGAGCATTAGTCAGGAATGGTCAGATGAACAGGAAGGTCCCTTCTGAGCCACGCTGTTGTTTGCAGTGGACAATACAGACTATTAATTTCAAAGTGGGAATCTAAGGACCTTGCTAAAAAACTACCTTACAGAGCAAGATTTGAGAAAAGAGCATTAAGAATTATCCAGTTAGTCCAGGGTAACTGCACAGTGGAGACAATTTAGAGAGGAGATTTTTTTTTTTTTTTTGAATCCCACAGCAGGCCTCTCCAGTTCATCCACTTATTGTTCATTTCACATCTGACAGATCAGAAGATAGATCCTCAACATCAACTTCTGTTAGAAGGAAGGGAGAGATGTGAATTCCATTTCAAGCCTGACAGGCTGGTTCCGTCAGATACATCTTTGTATCTTATATACCCCAGGGACGGGTTACAAGGACATACCTGATTAAATCCAGGAAGGCATCGGCAGCAGTCACTTGCACAATTTTACCTTCTCTGTACATGTTTTCCTTTGTGCCCTTTCCCGGATGGATGATGATGACAATAATTATGCCAATCACCACAGCAATGATGGTGGTGGTCATGTAATAGACTACAGCTCTCATGCCCATCTTCCCCGATGCCTTACTATCTAGGGCCGCCATTCCTGGGGAAGGCAAACAGAAGATTTTCAGGAAGTCAGTCCAAGGGGTTCTCTGATGGAAGACAAGGGGAACAGCGTTCCCTTCTACATCCGCTTTCCCTCATCCCTCCCAGAAATACCCACTGTGAGAATTTGTCAGTGAACATGTGATCACGCATGTTCTACACCAGATTGCTTTCATGGGGCCAAGGACACCAGCTTCCTAAAAGCTTGAGGTACAATTAATTTCTTCCCTCAGTTATTATTATTTGGAGAACCTACATGTGTGGGTAGTGTGTGTTTGTGTGTTTGAGTATGTGTACAGAATTATTTGAAGAGATTTCCATCAGGATAGTTTAAGTCTACCTAAGTCTAAGTACCAAGGTGAGTCACATACACAGGCTGTCATTGAGTTCTTTCTTAAAATTTATTATTTTATATGTGCATAGTGGAGTCATCTAGATGTCTTTTATGTTCCATTTGTTTTTATTACAAGCACTTGCCAAGCTATCTTCAATTTGTGTTTCAGGCAAACATTGGGCTCTAAAAACTAAAGTATCACAACACGTCTCTGCTGCTTTATTTCATCTCATTTAATAAAGTTGAAAACATCTTTTTTGTGGACTTCTCATTATTCTTTTATTCCATGTCCATCTTCCTTGTCTTACAGACACCTCATGGCATGTTAAAAATACCCCTTCTCCTTGTTTTCAAGTCATACTCTGTCTACTTACAGAGAGGTCCAGTGTTAATTTAGGTGAAAAGAGACAGATGGCTTTAAGGGCTCCCACTGGTGCAAACTAATGTCTTAGGGTTTGCTGGGCTGGAGAACAGTGAGAAAGAAACCCCCAAAGACTAACTTAGCTATGACAACATGGGAGCTCTGGTTTCCTTAACTCTTTCCATTTCCTTTCTTTATCTTTCCAATCCTATCGTAGTACTGAAATCTAATTATTGTGTAATCTAGTCATAGTTAATCAGCATACTTTCTTTACTGGTGCGTGTGTGCGTGCGTGTGTGCGTGCATGCGTGTGTGTGAATGTGTGTGTGCGAGAGAGAGAGAGAGAGAGAGAGAGAGAGAGAGAGAGAGAGAGAATGCGAATGAATGCTCACAAAGTCTGGAAGAGGCCATTAGAGCCCCAGGATCTACAGTTATGGACTGCCCAATGTGGGGACTGAACTTGGGTCTTCTGGAAGAACAGAAGCACTAACTGCTGACCCATCTATCCAGCCCATTATTTACTATTTAAGTTGTATTGTCATAAACGTATTAAAATATAAAAATAGCGTGTTTCTTTTCTCTTTAATGGTTTATTTACTTTTATTTCATGTGCACTGGTGTTTTGTGAGCATCTTTGTTTGTGTGAGGGTCTGAATCCCCTGGAATTGCAGTTACACAGTTGTGAGCTGCCATGAGGATGCTGGGAATTGAACCTGGGTCCTTTTGAAGGATAGCCATGGCTTTTAACTACTGTGCCATCTCTCCAGACCCATTAGTGTATTTCAATGATAGATATTAGTGCCCACATTTATACAAACATATTTAGGGTAAGTATTGAAAAGAAATATTCATGATGGTTAAGTGACTAACTTTGCCTAAAAATGTTGATACAGAGGTATTGAAGGAGGGATTGAAGTTACAACTTTCAATTTATAATTCTAATCATAAATTGTATAATTTATAGTTTTCATAAGCACTTACTTAATAATCCCCTAAAGCCTAAAGATCTTATGTAACTAAGTTTTGTAAATTTGTTGCCCCTGAGACAAACAGCCACAGTTCTCACAGATGAAGAGGCTGACTGGCTTCAATGCATGACCTTGACCTCTTATCTTTGGAAGCTAGACTTAAGTGTCCATTTACTGGGATGGTACCACTCAGCACTTCTGAGACATTATAACTGGTCTAATAAGTTCTCATCAGATGTTGTTCGTTTCCCCATTTTCATTGTCAGGACTGATTCATGCCCCAAGATAGCTTTACTTTGCTGTGATTGCAATGATATCTCCGCAAAGGGGCCCACTCTCTTGCAGGATTGCCTGACTTGATGTCACAGAACTACACCATCCTTCTGGCTCTTTCCCTGTATAGTGAGCAGCGTAAGTGTGATGGCTGATAGCTCTGCAAGGAGGGACCAGATGGCAGTATTTCCTTCCTCTCAGAGGAAGCTCTGTTTTCCTCTGCCTCCTACCCTGTGGTCCTTCTCAGATGTCTTCTCTGATGCTTCTGTCCATGACCGCCAGCCTATAAGCTATTTAGAGAGAACACTGGTGGTCAGGGTAGCATTGGGTCCAAAGTTGCAGACAGAGGAGGAGGCTTCCATACCCCCACCCCTGGCCAGAGGGATGGGGACATCATCACAGTACCCATGGTTATAGGGACAATACCTTCAGGAAATGGTTTATAGGTTTTTTGTTTTGTTTTGTTTATGCTTTGCATAAAGACCAACATGAAAGTATCTTTTCATGTTTTTTAACCTTGAAACAAGAAGGGCAATCACCCAGAAGGAATTTTCTTAGCAATAAGCACAGAATGAAAACCCAGTGCACAGATGGACTTTGGGAGCCCATTGCCCAAGGAGGGATGCTCTCTCAGCCCAGATACATGGAGGAGGGCCCAGGCTCTGCCCCAAATGATGTGACAGACTTTGATGATCCCCATGGAAGGCCTCACCCTCCCTGGGGAGTAGGATAGGGAGTCGGTGAGGAGCATGGGAGGATGGGAGAGGGAACTGTGATTGATATTTAAAGTAAGATTGCTGAGAGAAAGAAAGAGAGAGAACCATTAATCAATAAGAGGTTTCATCCATTTCTGCATAGTGGCTCCTTGAGTTTTGAGAGAAAATGAGCTGCTATTGTTTTAACCAAAGACAATCCCATCACTAACCAATTCTCCATGGAAGTCCTTCTCCCAAAGGAAGTCTGATGCCCCACACAGGACCACTTGCTTACTCCTGCTCATAGAATACTTTCAGCTTCTAGAACTAAAGACACCACCAAGAACAAGGCCATATACTGTTGTCAGGGAAACAGCGGGGCAGATGTGCACAAGTTATTCCTCACACAAAGGCCTTGGAACCAGTGGGGCCAGGAAAGTGATAGGAGAATTCCGGAAGGCAAACCTCCAGCAAGCAGGACACTGTTCTTCCTCTCCCACACCTGAACTCTGTAACCATCCTCTCCCTGCCACACGATGAAATATGAGAGACCAAGTTCTACAGCAGAGACTAAACACACACGTGAAGAGAGCCTGGGGCAAGGTTAGAGTACTAAATCACTTTGTAGAAAGGGAAATCTTGGCAGGAATGTCCCGAATGTTTAGAAAGGGAAAGTTTGTATAGACTCTTGTCATTTAGTTTAAAATATAGGGGAGAAAAGGGCATTGAGGCGATGGGAGATGAGAAGTCATTTGGGAATGGGAGTTTGTTACAACTGCCGTGTATTTGTCTAACATGTTTGAAAAACACATTCCAGAGGAGTCATAAAGATAGTGATCTCACCGGCCTCTCTTTGCTCACTTGACATCTCATCTCAACATCTGTATTAGGCAAAACCCTGCCATCAGAATCCTGGAATCCAAAAGAAAACCTATATTGTGTCCTTGTAAAATACCACGATGGCTCTCACAGGTACAACAATATGTCCATATGTTTTATATACTTTGAATTAACCTCCATGTTCATCCATGTTCATAAAGTCCTGATGTTCATATTCATTTAATTCCATGGTATGGCCTAACATAGATATCCTTGATACTAATTTGTAGGCAAAGAAACAAGAGCCCAAAGAAGTGAATGATTTGCTCAGTGTCTGACAGCTAATAACCACAGTGGCAAGATCCAAACCATGCTTCCAAAAGACCACCTTGCCTTTTCATTCTGTTCAGGAGTTGCCCATAGAACACTTCTTGTTACCCATGTTGACTTTCCCTAGCTTTCTTGTGTTGACTTGAGACAAAGTACTTGGTTTGAGGTGGACACTATTTAATACAGGGATGTAATTATGGAAAGCCTCTGATCAATTCCTCTCCATGCCTTCGGTCCACCCAAGGGCCAACCCATGTAGTCACAGGAAGGATTAGCTAGAGAGCTGATCTGGCAATGCAAAGCCTCCCTCCACTCCCGGAAAAGTGGTCCAGGGAAGGCAGGCATGTTGTAATAGAGGGTGGAGGGCCATCGATTTTTCTGGCTGTGAGCAGATTTCGCTTCTGAAAAATCTGTTAATCAATAATCAATTATCATGCAAGTAACCATTCCTGAAAACCTTCAATATACTTAAGAGCTAAGCAATGAAAAGAGATTAAGCAGGGAGCTTTCTAGACTATCAAAGATTTAAAAATTGCTACAAATACCTGCGTGTCTTACGTGACTGGCGCTTGAAGATAAGAAGCAAGCTTCTTGAAGCAAATACAGAATAACTTTACTTGGGCAGTCAGTTTAGCATAACAAATATGCATCAAAAAATTCATGGTGTATTTTGGAGGGGGAAGAGAGAAGTATTTCCTGCATACTATGTGGAACTCTGAATTGTAAATTAAATTTCCTTTGATACAATGTTTTGGAATGGCTTGGATAAATGAAATATGTCTCCAGCCAAGTTTTAAAGGGGAACATAAATAATGCCAAGCTCCTGAAGTTCTGTCATCTTCATGGATTCCACTCTCCCATCTGCTAAAAAATCTATGCCTTACAAATGAAAGCATTTCAGTCTGCTTCCCTCACAATTCCTGTCTCTGGTTTTGGAATGAGAAATCCAAAGCCACCTTCTGTTTTGAATTGTCTTTCCAAGTATCCTTGTGACACTTCATTGTTCTTCCAAGGCCCCTGGACCAGGCCCAGTGAGGACAGAAAAGGGCAATGGCAGTTGCTGATTCGAGAAGACTGCTCTGCTTCGGTTTTGAGTTCTTTTTAGATGTCTTCCTTCTTCATGATGCACTCTCAAACATTCATCTAATGAAAGCCGCCTGTTTCCAGCCCTCCTAGAATTTCAGGATGGGCAAACTTACAGCAAAGAACTCGAGGATG